TATTGATATGCTAAATAATGGTTTATGATTTTACTAAAAATCTAGCATGCTCTTTCCCCTGCTTTGTGGTACCAAAGTTGGGGGACAGAGACTCTCAGATCTAAAGGGTGGGTTCAGATGATTTGCAAGACAGGTCACCCGGACCTGCCAGAACACTCAAGAAACAGATTCCCAGATTCGAAGAAGGCTCTCCGTGGTGGTGACTCAGGGACAGACTGCTTGTGCTGTAGCTATGGTAACAAGGAGGCTTGCTGGTTGTCTAAATCTCTTCCTCTGATCAAGGACAATGCAGTTCCCAGAGCACATGCTTATAAACAAGCCAGTAATCATCAGCCTTCACTCAGGAGCCAGCCAATCAAGTCAGAGTCACCCTAGAAACCTGACTCTGAGCACCAATCATTTTGAGCACTCACACTCTACAGATGACATTGGCCTCTGCCTCACAGAATGACCACCCACCCTGAGCCCGATCATTCTGAATTCATAGAGATAATCATGATTTCCCTTCTCCTAAGAACAGTTAGGGATGATGGGATTTCTCTGTGGTGATGTATTGTGTGCTCTAATAAAATTTGCCTTAAGATCAGAGAATAGAAAAAGCCACTAGATTAAACATAGAAGCCAGGCAGTGGTGGCACACACCTTTTAATCCTCGGGAGGCAGAGATCCATCTGGATCTCTGCAAGTTGAAAGCCACCCTGGACTACATGTGATTGACTCAGTCTAGGAGAGCAACAGAGCCAGGCAGTGGTGGCACACACCTTTAATCCCAGTACTGGGAAGTAAGTAATGCAGCTGGGAGGAGGAAGGTATATAAGGCGTGCGGAGACAGGAACTAAAGGCTTTTCAGCTGGAGAGCTTCAGAGACATTCAGAGGGTTCGTGGAGTTGGCGAGGTGAGATGTGGCTGTGGCTTGTTCCTTTGTCTCTGATCGTTCAACATTTACGCCAATATCTGGCTCTGGGTTGTTTTTTTTTTTTTAATTAAAAGACCTATTTTAGACTTCATCTTACATTTTTCTTACTGCCTAGGCCATAGATTCACTAGTTCTTTTCATCTCAGCCTCTGGGTCACAGCTGTGCCACCCTTGGGCAGTTTTAAAGGTAACACTGAGACCATTTCTAGGACCTGCCATGATATCTCCCCACCAAAAGGCATTCACTGGACCCCAGCTCCAAGTACCTTTTGTTCAGGCACTCCTGGTTTTTTGGGTTCCTGCTGGCCCCCTGGGCTCCTATTGCTATCCCAGAATTTGCAAATAAGGATGTCTTTGTGCCAGATCACCATATTGAGGTATTTGATTCAAGTAACTAGAGCCTCAGCTAGAAGTCTGCTGCTGGGTCTTGGATTAGATCTTGGGATAAGGTGTAGTTGGTGTCAAAGTGCATTACCGGCAAACACCACCATGCTGTGCAATTAACTTGCAGCATCTACAGTTGCATGCTTTTTTGTTTTAAAGATTCGTTGTGTGTGTGCGAATGTGCATCTACATGCAGGTGCTCTCAGAGTCTATTAGAAGGTATTAGGTCACCTGGAGCTGGAGTTGTAAGCTGCCAGATATGAGTGCCAGGAGTGAACTCAGGTCCTCTATAAGAACAGCAAGTACTCTTGGTTTTTCGAGACAGGGTTTCTCTGTGTAGCTTTGTGCCTTTCCTGGAACTCGCTTTGGAGACCAGGCTGGCCTCGAACTCACAGAG